CCTGCCTTGCTGGGAGGTGGTGAACCTCTGGCTGAAGGGGTTTCGGTGGCAGCAAAGGGCTCTGCCTCCCGCTCCACACGTAGGTCTCTTCCTTCTAAACACCGGGGTGACGGGCTCCGCCGGCACCCGGTGACACCCAAAGGACCGAGATGGGATGGGAACCGGTGCCGGGGGCCACGCCAGCCCTCCCACCCACACAGAGAGGGAGATGCAATAAAAATATCTTGTTTTTTTTCACAAGCATTTAGAAACTTAATCCTCGTGCGACTCGTGCTCACTTGGGGTCGCCTGTGGGAAACTTGGCCTTTTGAGCCTCCCACCCCAACTTCTTTATACTCTGAGCAGGTCGTGAAAAAGCTAAATGAATTCAAAGAGGACAGCATCAAGTCCGACGCTGCAGCTTAGGCAATCCTCAAACCACGTTAAAACAAGAAATTACTGGAGGCAAAGACGATTTGCAGCACAATTAGCCCTCGGCGTGCAGCACCTCCAAGATGCAAAGCAGCGTTGTTTCTAGTGCATCCATCCCTGGGATGTTTCCCTGCTGGAGTGGGAGAACAACCATCCTTTCTAACATAAGATGCTGGGTTGGTAAGATTTTTTTAAAGACTAAAAAGAGCAATAGAAAAGGACTTTTTTAAAACAAACAAACAAACCAACCACAAGAACCCTACGTGAATCCTTTCCGTGGTACAAATCCCTGTGCAGATACAGCTTTTTTTTTCCCCCCACCGATGGTGGGGCTGGTGGAAATACCTCGGACCAGGTATGATGTGGTGCCCAGGCTGGGTTAGCCCTGAGAAAGCCTCGCAGAGCCACCCCTTAGGGATGGGACCCTGAGGACTCAACGAGCTGCCCTGAGAAAGCCCTGTCCCAGAGGAATCAGGAGAGACGTCCTCAGAGCAAGCCTGGGAAACCCCTGACTTTCTACAGGCACAAACCATTAAGCAAAGACTTGGACATACCGGTCAAGAGCCCAGGAAAACCACGAGCTGCTTTCTGACAATTAATTAAGCTCAAGTTGTCCCTCAGAGAAGCAAGGCGGCGGGGGCTCATGTTGCAGGAACCAGCCAGCGTCAACCACAACATGCAAAGGAAGTAAAAGCCCATCGCCTGGTCCACCCAGCCTTCCTCCCGCGAGTATGTTTGGCTCTTTGCAGAAAGGGGCACTGCCACCTCCAAACGTTGCCAGAAATTGGAAAAGAAAATAAATAAAAATCAGCAAGTGAAAACAGTAACCACAAAGCCTCCAAAAAACCCAACCCAACCCATCTTTATTCTTATCTAGAGGTGTCTGTGGTGTTCATCCAACTCCCTGCATACCACCAGCTGCCGCGGATAAGCATCCCGAGGCAGAGGCCAGCTCCCTGCTGCACACTCGTACCTCCCTGGGAAAGCAATATTCCCAAGCAGGAATTATCAGACCAGCAAGAACCCTAAAAATCACTCTTCCTGCGATCCCTCGGTCGGGCAGCTTCACACCACCAGCTGGGTGTTCCCACCCCTTGCCATCAGCTTCCCCAGGCTGGCAGGGAAAGCAGGGAGCAAAGGGGGGGCTGCCGCCCGCCGGGCTTCTCTGCTGACTCAGCTACTCTCCTATAGGACGCTATAGGTGCCTCTAAAGTGCTAGGTCTAACATCATGGGGGATGTCCGTGGGGGGACACTGGACCCCAAAATGCTGTCGAGAGCACCGTGGCATCCCATTGCCAGTTCCCCCAGTTGCGCAGGGGGGGCACTGGGAGGACACGGGGAGGTCTGAGCACGTGGCTCCCAAGACCAAGAGCTCCGGCAGGTCCTGAGCTGCAGCAGGGATGCGAAGCAGCAGAGGAAGCCTTCTCAAATTCAGGCACTGCTCAAACTGCCCTAAAGTCTCCAGGCTCAGGTCTGATCCGCCCATGTCTTCAGGTAAGAAGTGTTGCAGGTTTGTTTTCTGCCCCCCCCCCCCCATTTTTTTAAAGCAATGAGTTAATCTAGATGACTAGCCTGGGGCAGCTGGAAGCACCCCAGCCCTCAAGAAAGTGCTGACTCCAGTCCACAAAAAGCCAGATAATCAGCTGCTTTTAGAAGCTCATGAACTTGGCATCTGAAAAATGGAAGGACATAAAATTGTTAGCAATCATTTACAATAATAGGATTTTGTTAAAAACCTTCCATGGAGACACGCTTATGCCTTAATTTCACTACACAGGTTTACAAGGGCATAGACAAGTTGGGACAGGTCAAGGAACATCCCTTAAAAAGATGCTCTTAAAAACAACACATACACACAGAGCTAATACCTAAAATGTCCCTCACGCTTTTATTTAAACCTGGGCACAGAGTAACCCATCATCAAGCAGCGCCTGACATTGCACGACTCGAGGAATTACTCTGCTCTGAAGCCTTGGCATGCACTTCGTGGGCTCCCAGCCAGGGAGGACCAACCCCTTATCTGGATTTGGTCCCAAAGCATCACCCCCCTGGCACACAGGGGGGACAGCAGGATGCGGGTCACTTCCAAGCCACCACTGGAGATTTTTCCCATAGCAGAGACACAAGTGGGACAGGGCAGACAGATGTTGAAAAACACGGATGAGGGGAACCAGTGGGGACCCTAGCTCGAGCAGTATGTCCCTGCAGCACATGGTGACGGTGAAGGCAACCGCAACACACGTCTCCACTATGGAAGCAGCCAACACACATATGGCCAGAGCACGCCAGCTCCCACCCAACCCTATTTTACATCCAGTTCCCAAAATACTTCGGCACAGAAGCTCCTCTGTTTGCCCAGGTACAGTAAATCCCTGTATCTGCAGCACCTACAGCATGCTACCTGCTTTGGCCAAGTCCCATTTCAAGGAGCGGGGAAGGGAGCACCCTTGGATGATTCAGAGCGGCCACCACCACGCCGCTTCGGCCGGCCACTACCCACTGCCAAAAGGTTTGGTCAAGCCTGGCAAGCTCCCCAGCATGCTCGCTGGGGCCTGCGGGTATCCAAAGATACCAAGCGCCCGAGCACAGCTGTAACTCACTTTTCTTAAGCATAAGGAAAAAAAAAAAAAAAAAAAAAAGAATTTAAAGTACATCAGATTTAAGCTGTTGCTCAGGTCCCCCCTCTTCAAGCCCTGGGTAGAGCTGACTGCCACATCTCCCTCTCGCACTCATTTGCAAAGAGTTTTACTTTCTAGAGCCGCTGCCATGCCCTTGCTAGGGAATTTCAGAGCGCAGGACCCCCCGACCTGCAGTGCTCTGTGCTGTGGGCTGCTGGGCACCCGCAGGTGCTGCAAGCCGCGCTTCCTGGGCTCGCAACTTCCTACAACACGGGGGAAGAAAGGCTTTAGGGAGATTTATGCACTTGTGTGGGGTGGGCTTCTCGACTTCCCTGCTATTTTTTTGGAGAGGGCCAGCAGAGCTCTGCCGAGAGGGAGGCCAGGCGCCACGCTCAGGCTCTCCCAGCAGATAACCGGGATGCTGGAGGATTCCTGGCATTCCAGTGGCACCAGCAGAAGGGGAGAGCATCCCCCCCCCCCCCCCCCCCCTTGCTGAGCAGACCCCGCCGGCACTGCCTGAGCGGCGAGCGGTGTTCGGACACGCTTCCCGCTCACAACCACCGCGGACACGGCGCGGGCACACCAAATCTCTTCTCCCCGAGATGAGCTGCGGATTCCTGCTGCACGGGGAGCACGACCCCGCAACAGCTGCCCTGGGAGGTGGGCAGAGGGGTGGCTGTAGCCCCGCTGCCCCATCCCAGCCGGACCCGGCGCCCCATCATTTGACAGCAGAGCTCCGGTGTTCGGTGTTCGTGCTGCCACACGTTCCCGGGGCCCAGCGCCGGCCCGGCAAGTCTCGGCAGAGCACGGAGCCAGGGCCCGCAAGCGCGCCGTTAGCACCGGCACCCCAGGAACCGGCCCTGGCTTACTGCAAGGAGCAGCCAAAGCTGCTGCCTCACCTCTTTCAGATCGCTTCTCAGCTGTTTTCACCTGCCCTCTTCCTAGTTTCTCCTGAAATCAGCCATCCCGAGGGGAGTGCCGCGGGTTGTGCTGGAGGCAGCCGCTCTATTTGAGCGAGAGGTACGTGGCCGTGACCCCTTCCCCCATGCAATACCACCCTCAAACTCACGCTTGGGGTTTTTAACCTGCAATCGAGTTTTTAGCGTGCAATCACGTTTTCAGCGTGCAATCACAAAGCGCTGCGGCAGGGCAGGGGAAAACCGGGGAGAGGAGTTTGTTCCCCCACCCACAGCAGGCCACAAGTGGAGTTACGAAACAACCTGCCGGCAGAGTTCACAGAAGGCATCAGAAGTATGCAGGGAGAGCCAGGCTCTTATCGAGGAATTTAACCCCTCTCCTCGGGGAGCCGGAGACATCTCTGGGGGGAGGAAGGACGGCGGGACAGCTTTGCCCTGTGGACGCAGGGGGTTGGAGGAAGCACGCGGGGCTGAGACCCCACGCCACCTCGGCTGCTCTGGCCGGGATTCTCAGTGCCAAGCGGGACTGGGACGCTTGCTCCTTCGAGCGGGGCTCGGGTGGGCCGTGCTGGTGGCTGGAGCTGCTGGGGACGGCGGTGCCAGCTCCGGGGCAGGCGGGAGGCGAAGCCACCCCAGTGCTTGACTCACCGGGACACGGCCGGTGGGGCAGGTGGCGAAGCGGCTCGTGGTCTCAACAGCGCAGGAAGCCGCTCCCAGTCACCCCGGCTCGGGCTCTCGTCAAGGGACTGGGGGTGTCTGCAGGCGCTGTGCCCCCCACGCCACCTCCCTGCCAGCTCTGCCCCGCTCCCCACGCGCGGCCGGCCCCACAATACCGGGGTTTCCCCCCCCGCCGCCGGCTGGCCGGGGGGGGGGGGCTCGCCCCGGGGACACCCGTGGACAGCAGACCCCCCCCCCCCCCCACCCCCCCCCCGGGGCTGCCGGCCCCGCTGCGGGCAGGGCCGCGCCGCGCCCCGGAGCTGCAAAGCGGCGGCGGCCCCTCGCCGGGAGCCGAGACCGGCCCGGCCCGGCCCCAACGCACCGGTGCGCACTCACCTGCCGCCGGCCCGGCCGCCCCGGCCCCGGCCCCGGCCCCGGCCCCCGATCAGGATCAGGATCAGGATCAGGATCAGGATCAGGATCAGGATCAGGCCCCCAGCTCCTCTCCCCGACGGCCGCTCCGCTGCGCGGAGCTGCTGCGACCTGCCGCCGGCCACGCCCCCTGCCCCGGCCCCGCCCCCCTCTGGCCCCGCCCCCGCCAGGTGAGCCCCGCCCCTCCCCCCGCGCCCGCCTCACGGTCTCCTCGGTTTTAAAAAAAAAAAAAGTCTCAAATTCTCCTTTTAAAAAAAAAAAAAAGTCTTAAATTTTTATTAAAACCCCCACCCTTAAATTCTTCTTATTAAAAGTCTTAAATATTCCTGTTTAAAAAAGACAAGTTTAAAATTTTCCTTTAAAAATGTCTTCAATTCTCCTGTTTGTTTTTTTTTTTTAAAAAAACAAATTCTTAAATTTTCCTTTTAAAAAACCCCCACTCCTAAAAAACCCATTTAAAACAAAAGTATTACATTTTCCTTTTATTTTAAAAAGCAGTCTTAAATTATTTTTTTTTTTAAAAAAGAAGTCTTAAATCATTATCATGTTTTTAAAAGAACTCTTAAATTCCCCCTTTTTTCAAAAAAACCCCACTCTTAAAAAAACCCTTTAAAATAAAAATATTACATTTTCCTTTTATTTTAAAACGCGGTCTTAAAGTTTCCTTTCCTTTTTTTTTTTTTAAAAAAAAGAAGTCTTAAATCATTACCATGCTTTTTCAAAGAGGCCTTGAATTCCCCCTTTTTCAAAAATCCCCCGCGGACCCCACGCCATGCCGTGCCCCTGGGTGCTGGTGCGGCGGGACGGGCTCCCCCCGGCTGGAAGCGCTCGCCTGTCCCTGGGAGCCCCACGCGGGGTGGCTGGTCCCACGGCGGGGGGGGGGCGGGAAACGGCCCCTTTGGGCCAAGGAAGAGCTTGGCCTGGCCCCGGGGGGTGCAGCCCCCACGCCCCTCAGCCGGCCGGGGGCTTCCAACTCCCCAAAACCGCTGAGAGAAGACGGGAGGGCGGCAGGTTGAGCCGGTTTGGGAAGAAGCAGGTGCTCGCTGCCGTGCCGGAGGCTTTGGAAACTCCTCACCTCCTCCCTCCGCCTGCTTTTCCCATCCTAGCTCCCCCCAAAACCCCCCCAAAAGCTGTCCCCCCCCTGCACGCCAGTGCCCTGCCCAGCACCGAGGGCAGCTGCGGTGGCATCGGCCTCCGCGTCCCGTCCCGTCCCGTCCCGTCCCGGTGGCGGGTGCTCCAGCCCTGCCCCGTGCCAAGCACCTGCGGCGGGGCGGACGCACGCTCACCTTCACGTTTCCTTATCTAGAAGCTCTAGTGAAACGGCCTACTGCTCGTGAGAAAGGACAACCCAGGCCCCCGGGCTCCCCAGGGGCTGCTCCTCCGCAGCGCAGCTCAGGGCTGCTGCTCCCTCACGAAATGTACGTTAATTTTTACTTATGGCCAGAAAAATCCCCATCTCACGTCAGGTTTACGACACCTTTAACTACTCGCTTCTCCGCATCTGAGCTGCTGGGATTAGGAGGTGATGCAACACACGAGTATGTAGCTGTCACTCGGCAGTTTTAATTGGGTTTTTAAATGAAGTTTTCTGTTGTCCTGACATATTCCTCGTAATTAGGATCTTCTAAAATCAGATAATACCTCTGGCGCTCTGTAACACCGGCCGTGCCCTGGAGACCTTACAGCGCAAGAGGAACAAAGATCTGTATAAGAAAACAACAAAAGCTGTTCTCAGGAGATACATATCTTATTTATTAGCTTGGATACTCTTCTGAGATCCTAATCAGACACAAAATGAGCAGAGGTTCGTTTGCCACTAGTGAGGACAGTTGTCTTTTAATAAAAAGATTTTGAGTTTTAAATATTTCTACCTATAGCACCTTGTAAAAAGATTGGAAATCTCTTATCACCTGTAAAGGTAAAGCTATTACTGAGAAAAATGAACTTCTAACTCTGCACCTGCATGTCTGCATGACCCCTTGATCCCTCATCCTACAGAGAGTTCTCCACTGAGATAGATGAAAGTGTACGAGGGATAGTTTCATACCGGTGAGCAATTCCAGACCGGCTACTCATGGACCACCTCCTCCACCCCTTGCCGTGTCTCAGCCCACCTCCAGATTTATTCTGGAAGCTCAGAAGTTCCGGTGGTGCTGGAAGCCATCTTCAGCGACTGACCCAGCAATCGCGGCCGAGCTGATTTCTGGGTTTGAGCCCGCTGGTTCCTGGCTGGGTTTTCTAAAGACGCGTCTTAACGTTTTGAAAAGTCGCGTGCTCATTGTATGTACACTGAGCAGCCAAGCGGCTTTTGGGAGGGGAGTGGAGCTATCTCAGCATCTTGAGCAGCTGAATTATAACCAAGTAGGTCCTTTGGTCTCTCCAGCAGCCTCCCTACTGCAGATGAGATAGTAACCCTACCTGAGCTTCCCCAAAGAAGACGATGCTGTCTTGCTGATATGCTCAGGAGTGCAACAAGAAAACCCCTTGCTCCGAGGCTTCTTAAGATACAGAATATGTTTGCACAAAAGCCCCCTCATGAGCACAAACGTACCGTGCGCTAACAGCAGGTCGTCACTTGGTGATGGGCTGTAGTCTCTCTTAGCTGAACACATCTCTGCTGAGACCCGGTCTCCACCCAAGCCGGCTCAAACCCGGCCGTGTTAGCCCGTGCCGCAACGCCGCACCGCACGGTCAGCGTGGGGGATGAGGGGAAAATAGGTACTTGGGGCAGCGGGATCTGCAGAGCTGCTGTTGGGAGAGGGGAATAGAGGGAAGTTTCTTTTTCAGGCCCATCTCCAAAAGGAAAGAGGAGTCAGGTTTTCAGAGGTGTCCCACATCCACTGGTCTCCACAGGAGATGCATGGGGCCGGCATCGCGCTCCCAAACCTTCTTGTCACCCTGAAGGTCATTTGTTATTTCATCACCTCCCACCAGGCACTGCCGGAGGCAGGAGCCGCAGTCCCCGTCTGCCTGGGGCACAAGGCCTGCACCGTCCCCGTGGTGCTTTCCTCTCCTTCTCCCCTTGCCAGGGACTCCCTGAGACCTTGGGAATGTGCCCCTGGGCCCCACGAGCCTCAGGAAATTTGTCAGCCGCCATCCTTTCCTGACGCAACCGCAACATTTTATGTGCCACCGAGAAATTACCCAGCAGATCCCTTGCCTGGCTCAGCACACAGAAGGGTGCGTTTCCCCCCAGAAGATGAGCTTCCTTCTCGAATAAAGACAATCACCCCCAAAATCCTGGCATTTTCAGGGGAGCTCTGGCACCTGGAGCGGAAAGTGGCTGGTACCATATGGCAGGCTGACTTTCTCTTCCAGCAGAACCCCCACTACCTTAAGAGCTGTAATTCAAAGCCAGAAGTGAAGACATATATATATATATAGAGAGAGTATATATAAATAATATATATACTTACAAATATATATAGATTTTTAATTTTTTATATATAAATAGTTGTCATGGTTTGAGCACAGAGGGCAACTGAGCATCATGCAGCCATTCACTCACCCCTTCCCTATCAGAAATGGCTCAGGAATCCAGATAAGGACAGGGAGGGATGGCTCACCCATTACAGTCATGAGCAAAAGACAGACTCATCAGGGGAAGAAAAAAAAAGAACATCACTTTAATTCAGACACTAATAAAGACAACACTTAAAAGACAAGGCGGGACATTGAGAAGCGCCGCGACATCCAAAACCACCTCCCCCACCCCTCCCTTCTCCCCGGGCTCAGCTCTGCTCCCCATCTCTCCCTCCTCCCCCAGCAGTGCAGGGGGCAGGGGATGGGGGTCACAGCCAGCTCGCCGCTCCTTCCTTCTCGGGAGGTGGGGGGAACGCCGTGCACCCCTCCCCTGCTCCACGGGGCTCCCCTCTCCCTGCAGACAGTCCTCCACGAACCTTCTCCAGTCTGAGTCCTCCCCACGGGCTGCAGCCGTTCCCACGCTGCTCCGCTGTGGTTCCCCCCGCGTGTTCCAGCCCTCCCAGTGCCGAACCACAACAGCGGGGGCTGCTTCTCCCCTCAGAGTCCCGGCCTCCTTTAAGCGCGGGTACCTGCCCTGGTGTGGGCTCCTCCACAGGCTGCAGGCCGGCCTCTGCTCCACCCGTGACCTCCATGGGTGGCAGGGGGGGTGGCCCTGCCGTCTCACCACGGGATACTGGGGGTCTCTGCTCCAGCACACCTCCCCCACTTCCTCCTCCTTCCCCCCACTGACCTCGCTGTTCACATAGGTGTCCTTCTCGTAACTCCTCCTCACAAGCCCCAGCCCCCTCTCAGGTTCTCCTGCTTAAATACGTTCCCAGAGAGCCACAATCACCATCACTAGTTGGCTCAGCCCTGGCCAGAGTTGGGGCTGACTTGGAGCTGGGGGAGCTTTGAGAAGCTTCTCACGGGGGCCACTGTTGTAGCCCCCTCCCTGGTACCAAAACCCCACAGCTCAAAGCCAGCACATTAGTATATATAAAGTAAGTAGAATACATACATATATATAGTGTATATATATAGGAGCACTGCCTTCTGTTACTCACCATATACTTGTAGCAGTTTTGGGGAGTGCCTATTAATCCTTTCAGCACTCTTAGGACTTTGGGAAAGTTTGGAGGGTGTGAAGATTTTCCAGGTTACTTTGGAATGTTTTGAACCCACTGTTGTTTTTCTGGCAAGGGTTTTATTATGTAACCATACACTGTTTTGCTAAGAGACAGAAGATGCTGCCTTGAATGTAACAAAAGGGCTTGTCTGGAAGAATTTTCTCCTCTGTTTCTAGGACAACAAGAGACACGAGAAGGAAAAGATGCTGCAGCATCACAGGAAAGCCAAATCTGGGCTCAGCACCGCAGAGCCACTGCAGCTGACCGCACCCCACCGTTCCCACTCGCAGCCCCGTTTGGGTTAGGGCTTGCAGGGAAGGAGAGACTCTGATCTGGTAGCAGGACCTTGGTACGGTGGGAAGACTAGCTGTTCTCCTTCAAGGGCAGGCCTGCTGGCCTCTGAGGCTTGATGGATTTCCTGTCCTCCTGCTTTATGCAATGAAGTTTTCATTCTGCTTCTGCAGCAAGGCTGCAAAAGTTGCTGAGC